CCCTGTCGAGAGAATTTGCTCGCTCCCTCGTCGCGAATCGGCGGTTCTATCGGAACCTAACGGTCCTAGCAACGCTAGAGAAAACGAAAGAAGGGACGAGAAGCGAAGAACGGACAAACGTGCGCGATGCTGTTAGCGCAACTTTATACACGATGCACGGTGCGTTCGCGCGCGCGTATGCACGCCTACGCGCCGCAGGTGTAATCGGGAGTTCCCACCCGCAGGACATCGGGACCGTTCCATAACCGTTACGACAGAGCCGGCCAGGACGACATTCCTTGACAGCCGCGATTTGAATAAACGAGCGATCCCGGGAATGAAACCCGGGGAATTCGCGCGCGCACAGGCGCGCCTACCCCCTTTGCCCCGGACGGCGAATTTCGCGAAAAATTTGCGCCTGTCTCACAGAACGACGTGCACGACGAAAGATCGTATCGCGCCGCGTATTTATTTCCACAAGCCGCCGTTGGAAACTCGCACAACGGTATCCTTGAGGCACACCGTGCGAGCGCACAACGCCCGTCTACATATCAGTGCGCGGAAAATAACGAGCTTCTCGCGAAATAAGTTTTACGAGTGCTAATTGTTTCGGTCGGAGGGTCTGCTCTCGCGCCGTTTCATGTTCGCAGACCGCGAAATTCCCACCGAGAGGGAAAATTGACTAGAGAGAGCCACCATCAAAGAGCACATATTATCAATCGCGTCCTTCTTTCGCCGGCGTGCTTTGTATAAAAGCGCACGTGTAATAACATACGTGCTATATCAAGAGCGATTTTATTAGCAACGCCGTAATTTCCTTTTTCCAAGGCTAGCGAGACAGGGACAGATGAGGCAGGGAGAGGAGACAAGGGGAGAGGGAGGGAGGGAAGGGGAGAGAGAGAGAGAGAGAGAGAGAGAGAGAACTTATAGAACTAGTTCTATAAACGAGATTCCGCGAGCTGTAAATTGACGCGAAAAAAGCGCACGCGCCTCCAAAGCGTAGCCGTTTTGTGTCTTTCTTTTCTCCCCGAGCTGTAAAACATATCCTTGGCTTTCAAAGCCCCGCGCGTCCAGTCCACCATGTCCTCCCCTCCTCTCCTTCCGCCCCCTCTATTCCGCTCTTTCATACTCTTCCTGCTACCGTTCTCCTGTCTCTCCCCCTTACATCGTAGCTTTAATTATCGCCTCAAAGGACCCGGCCCTTTTGCTTTATTTATCCATCGATGACATTCCCTTATCCCGTATCGTCAAAGAAATCCTTACGGACGTTAATTAACCTTCGAACGCAAAAAAAGAGCGGGACTGCAAAAACGAACGGGCGCGCCCATATTCGTTGTAATAATGAGGAAGGAAACTATTCTTTAACCCCTTTCGCCATATATCTCACCGTGTGCCCCACCTCTTGTCGACCTTTTCGCGTCCAGCGGAGTAGGATCTCGGCTCTCGTAGTCTCTATTGCACATTGAAATCTACATATCTCTCTCTCTCTCCCTCTCTCTCTCTCTCTCTCTCTCTCTCTCTCTCTCTCTCTCTCTCTCTCT